ATTCACATACCTGTTGGAACATATGACAAAGACTCTGAGTTCAGTTTAATGAAACTTTACAAAGCACTTTATGGTCAAGAGATTGCATTCGACTTATGTAAGTCATGTCAACCTTGCTTTGCTGAAAAGTTCAACTTTTCAATAACGACTAAAACAAGCTTTATTCGTAAGTTGAAGTTCTGAGGTCATGGGCTTCGCCCTTGCCGCTAGCGGCTTATTTTTGTCAGCAATGAGGTCATTCGTGATAAAAATAAAGCTAGCGTAGATTTTACAATACTGCGATGGTAGAGTTTAAGAGTTGTGCTTCAATGTAGAGACAGTCCTTCCCATCTGGAGGCAAGAACACTGGACATTTATGGTCATGAGTGGAGAACATGTCTATCCAAAACTCACGATTGAAGCCAGTTAATTTATAGTATTTAGGGTTAGGAAGTGGTGAAGTTCTTGTATGACCAATGAACTCATTTTCAACGCCTTTGGCTATATTAGAGTAAAGTATTGCTTGCTTTCTATCCCAAATGCCAGGTGTTACAATCTTTGAAAATTCATTTTTCCTCGGAAGCATTGCATCATAATTGAAAACATTCTTAAAATCATCACTTGGTTCGAGATTTGAAATCTTATACGTAATGGATTTTTTTCTTTTAGCGACTTCATTGAATGGTGAGAATACAATGAATTGACAGTCATGAGTTCCATCTTCATTTTCATTAAATTCATAATGAAAGTCTATAAGTTGTGGCTGACTACCTTCTTCTTTTCAGTTGTGCAAGAAACTCACGTAAAGGCTGTAAAGTTTGTACTTCAATGTTGAACTTTTTCTCGAACATCTCATTAAATGAAATCATACATTGCAACAATGTTGTATCGTCTTTAAAGTATTTGTATATGTGAATGTTTTGGGCGCTTAAAGACTGTTCGTCATTTTCTATCTCGACTTGAAGTATAAAGTCAACCTTTCTGAAAGCACGTGTTATATACATAGATGTTATGCCAATGTACTTCTCTTCATTTATGTTCACAATCCAGTCTGTTGGAAACTTAAACGTTACTCTGTTCCCCTTTATTTTGACGTCAGGGTTTTCACTACTGAACGCAACAGATAAAGGTATTTGTCTATACATTTAATTCGGATAAAAATAAACCATTTACTCTTTCTTTGCTTCAGCTTCCTTTGCTTTTTGTTCTTCCTTTGCTTTTGCTTCTTCTCTAGCTTTTTTCGCCAGCAAACGTGGGTTCTTCTGTCTTCCAGCAGCTAATGCAGCTAGTTGTTTTTCACTAAGTTTTCTCTTTGGTCTCTCTGGCTTTTGTTCTTGTTTTTGTTCCTTCAGTTCGGATAAAATTTGCTCGCGAATTTCTTTCTTCAATGCTTCAACATCTATGACCCCTTGGGTCTTGTCCGTAGGGCTTGTCTGAGTCATTTGACTGCAGATAAAAAACTAAATTAAAACTTTAACCGATGTAAAATGAGCTTGTCAAAATCAGAGCGAGAGTCTATTATATTAAATGACGCCAGAGGAATACAACATCCTTTCTATTATGTAAGTCAGAGTAAAGATGGTAAAATATACGTAAGAAAAAGAAAGGTACCATTAGCGAATGCAGAGAGCGACAACATTAAGGTGCATGGCAAGGGTGAAGTCCACGAAGCCCATATAAAACCTTCTGTTCAAACTGAAAAGTCAATAGAACAAGAAGAAAAGAAGCCAGATGTTCTTTCAATAACGAACCAAGAGCTTATTGCAAAGTTCGTGAATTTCATTGAAAAACAAACCGAGTCAAAGAACCCTGACCCGCCAGTGAAAGAAGTTGAGACAAAAGAGAATGTACAGTTCATTGAAAATGTCAAGAAACAACTTCCACCACGAATGCCAAGAAGAAGAGTGAGAATAATGAAGTAAATAGATATTTTTATCTGAAGTAAATACATGCAGAACGAACAGTTAAACGAATTTACTCCAGCAGAGCATATTCATCAGATTCGCTCATATTTCGATATCATAGACAATGCAGTTCAAATTGGTGACACTAATAGAAAATATTCTGACGCAAAGATTCCATCACAACCTGGAACTGCTAAAGATAACACATGGGTAACATTCAATCTCTCACCTCCTGGTGAAAATATGTTGGACCTTTACAATACATTCATTACGTATAAAATGGAAGGTCAATTTATTGTAGATAAAGAAATTGGTTCAGGTTCCAATAAAACAAACCCACCAGGATTTTGGATTGGTTTCGATGACGCTTTCTATGCAGTTGCTGGATATCAAATCCTTGCAAATGGTCGTATCGTATATTCTCAAGACAACGCAAGAGAAGAAGCATATATAACTTCAAACTCACAAACTACCGAACAAATAAAGAAAGTAGATGTTTTCAAAGACTCGACATGAAGATGTATGGAGTCATTCGGGAACATGCAGAACAGGACAAATTGTTAGTGGTCCAATTACAGCAGGAAAATCATTTGATTTTAAGCTTCGTTTAAGAATTCCTGTTAGAAGATTCCTTCCATTAGAAGCTATTCGATTTATTCCAGCTTTTGCAGGAAACATTCAGCTTAAAGTAAAGTTCAGTAGCGACGCCTTACAATGCACATCTATATCTGTAAATGATATCATTGCTTTCAATCCAACTCTTAAAGTTGCATTTGCTTCAGATTCAAATCCACCGACAAATAAATTTGTTCCATGGAATGAACCATTCACTATGATAACGAAGGCAGTAGAAGCTAGTGGAACAGTTACTATTACAACTGTAAACCAGCAACTATTTCGAACAAAGATGGATTTTAATGAATGTTTCATTCATCCAAAGTCATTCTCTTTAGACCCTAACATTTATACAGAACTTGTAGAACATTATACAAACGAGGCTTTATGTTTTCCTGTTAAAGTTATGGATTGGATTCCTATGGACGGTTCATTCTCAAAGAATACAGATAGTTCAAGTGCAACATTTACAGCAGCTTATACGCCTATTAATGTTAAAAGTATTTGGGCACTATTTAGAAAGAAAGACAACTATTATGTTAATTTTGAGAACCCTAAGTTTAAATATCTTCAGCTTTCCATGGGAGCTTATGGAAATATGCCTGCAGAACCTGAAAAATCATATGGACCTGTATTTTATGAAATGGTTGCGAACGCTTGCAATACAAACAATGATATGATAGGATTTAATGAAGATGTTATGAGGTCATTGGTGGATGATGGTAGTGTGGAACATAAATGGGATAGCTATGACAACACACATTTCTTATGTGGTTTTCCAACAGAAGTGGACTTTTGCTTCCAGCAAGGTCAAACATCTACTGCTCCAATAACATACAAATTGTCTGTTAAAGGACCTATTGAACTAGCAACTGAAAACGTACCAAAGCCACTTATTGGATTTATGAGGGATTGTTGCTTTGCAATACAAGTAAGACAGTCAGGCATACCAATAATAAGACTTGACGACTATAACTTAGCAACTGACGACAGTGAGGAATAAAGGATGAACGTTTATTTTTAAAGCTTATAAATGAGTTCTTCATCAAGCTCTCGTGAACCTTCACCATCTATGAAACAAACTTTACCAAACGATTATGGAGCACCTATTGAATATTTCTTACGAGCTGCACAATGGCAAAGAGCAGTCTCACCAAGGTTAGGTGTTCCACCAGCTCCTGTCAAAAATAGCATTTGGTCAAGTCCTTATATAAAATATGGTCTCCCACTAGGTTTGCTAGCTACAGCAGGAGCAGTAATGATGTTGAAAAGAAATAAAGCAAATGTTATAAATAATACTGAAGTAGCTGAATTTGAACAAACTCCGACACCATCGCCAAAACCAACGCCTTCACAAGCAAAACCTTCAATGACTCCTGAACCTATGAAGTACAAACTCCTGTTCAAAAGTCAACTCCTAAACCGACTCCAACATTTAAACCAGAACCTACTCCTCAAATAAATCGTAAAACTCCTGCGTTTCCTTACTGAAAAAATAACGTTATTTTATTTTATTTGAACATTTTATTTGAGAAATGACGACTAAAGTCACTGAAGCAATGAAACAAAAATTTTTGGTAGAATACATTAAATCAGGAGCGGTTCCAGAAGGTTTTTACGTTCATACTATGAAGGATGGTAGAGTTCAGTTTAGAAAGATAAAGCAACCATTAGATAGAGAAGGTATATTAAGGAAGATTAAACTTCATGAGGACAACATTGCTGAACTTAGAAGAAGTTAGAAGAGTTGGAGAAAGGAAGAGAGTTATAAAGCAATGAATTCATCAGGTGAAAAAAGAGGTGAAAAAAGAGGTGAGATTTCACCACTTCACCTAAATTTATTTTTGCGCTATGTTTTCATACGTGTGAGGGTGGTGATATCATTAATTTTAAGTTTATTTTTTATTTTATTTTTTTATTTTTATTTTATTAATAAATGACGAAAACTATTGAGATAACAAACTACAACGGTCATGAGTTCAAGAATTTGTTCTTCGTTCCTCGTGAAAATACATTCTATCAGATACGAGGGAGAAAGGGTAAAGTTAGTTTGAGCGTTTATGACTACAAGCATAATGGAAAGTTTATACAAGCATATGATACAAACGGTAAGCGTGTTTCATTAGCTTTGTCAAAACTTACAGGTATAAACTATGACAGTGATTTTGACCTATATGAAGAAGAAAGTGAGTCAGAAGATTATGAGCTGTTATATGAAGCACAGCAATGGGAGGAGTTGCAATACTTTTGTAAGTGAGAACGTTTATTTTTTACATTAGTGAGGTGAAGTGGTTGGCGGCTTTGTAAATATTTAAGGTTAAGTTAGTGTTGTCGTTTGTATTGTAAAATATACGTTAACGGTTTTGTAAAGTGTCAAATTCACATAACAGGGGTACGGTGGAACGCAGTGCCGTCGTACCCTTGTTATGTATACTAACTTACTATGACCAAATCATTATATCAGCAACTTCAGACTCTATGGACTCAACAGCGAAAACATTTATGTCAAAAGTTCAAGCCTCTGTCGTTAAAGTTCCAGACAGTGAACTCATTGAATTTCTTCAACGTTACATTCGACGTAAGAGGAAATATTATGCCATCGTTGAATTTATACAGTCAGGAATGCAAAAGACTTCTGAGGAGATGGAAAGAATTATTGACAAACACCACTTACGTCAATACTCAGGAGTTTACGATATGAAACGACTTACAAACTACATTCTGTCAAAACTTTCAAAATACCCCTTCAAAAAATATCCATCAAACACTTTATTAGTTTGTGATGATTTCGCTGGTAAAGGTTTAGTGTCAAAACCAGACTCACCATTAGCTAACATCATTACTAAAGTCAGACATTATCACTTAACTGTAGCAATACTTATGCAAACATGGAGGTTTTTAGCTTTAAACATAAAACGTCTCATAACTGACTTCGTTATCTTTCAAGGTTTCTCACGTTATGATATTGAACTCATTTGGAAACAGTCAGGTATAACATTACCTTTTGAAGAAATTTGGGAAGCATATAAGTCTCTCATCTCTCCTCGTTCATACCTTGAGATTCATATCATGACTAATACCATTAAAGTCAAAAATATTCCATGGGAACAACCAACATTGTTTTAAAGCTTAACCTTCAATTGACTGATGGTAAACAAATTCCATGCATCTCTGTCGCCATTTCTGTTAATATTTTTGCTGTCATTCATATCATCACTTCTCCATCCGTTAGCTTTTGAGGATATGTGTTAGAATAGCTGTTCTTAAATGAAGGCTTCTCTCCCTTGAGAGCATAAACTCTATAACTTTCTGCATACTTTATGTTTGAACCTCCTGAGCCATCATTGACATAAATTTTTATAGGCTTCCACCCTTTGTTCATGTTCCTGCTTCTTCCCTTAGCTCTTTTGTTCAGTAGTTCTACATCTTTATAGACAGCACCTGTCTCCGTGAATTCAACAATATTTTCATTCGTTAGCTTTACATTCAAACCCTTGTCGAGTATATTGTTCATTTCATACATATAAAAGGTTTTTATTCTATATGAAATGAGAAGCAAATCCATCTTAGCTGGTGCCGTTAATGTTCCAATTGAACCAACATCAAATGTTGACTCACGAACGACAAACAATATTGTCATAAAGAACTATAGTTCAGAGTGTTTGAAAGAACCAGAACCAGAACTTAAGTCGGTGAATTTAAACACAGCTTCAAACGCTAACGCTACATCAGATGTTAAGTTAGAGTATCCACCATTAGACCAAATTCTTTCAAGAGAAGCCAACGACAACCCTTACACAAACATTCAAACGAATCCTTCAGATAACGTAGACCATTACCTTCTTCAGTTATACCAAACAATTTTACTCAAAGACGATAAGAAGCTTTTGACAAATCTTATTAGTAAGAACCAAATAATTCTAACAAAGGAGGATTTAGAAAATGTTATATCACGAATAACAGGGAAACAGTGCGTTATTGACTATCTCGACCCTGAAATCGAATGCTGTGGTCAAACGCCAATATTCATGAAAATAGGTAACATCCGCATCATTGAAACACCAGGTACTCCAGGAGTTGAGTTTAAGTATAAATATTCAAACGAGTATACAAAACTATCTACTGACTATAAGCTTTGTTTGAAATATGTTTTAGTAAATTAAAGCAGTCAGTCATTGACTGACTTAGGTTAGTCAAAAAAATTTCAAGTTAACAACTTATAGTATCTGTCCAAAACTTCTTCAACAGTATCGAACTCATCTTCATAATGCAAACCTAATCTTATTGACTTGGTGCAGTTTTCACTAACACAATATTTTTCTGTTCTCTTGACTGACATAACTAACTCATTTGTTTCATCAAACAGCAACAACCAAAGTTCATGACCTAATACATAACATTCATACTTTATATTTTTAGCTCTGAGTTCTCTTGTAAGCTGTTGCATTTAATATTTTCTAAAAAGTCAACTTCAACAGTCATTCGCACTGGTGCCTTCAGTTCTACAGGCTCTCCTTGAAAGTCAACAAGTCTGAATTGCATGTCTTTCAAATTATGAGGACTAATGCGAACCCATTTACCTAAATGAGTTGCTATGACAGGAACGTTTGGAATGAACATTGAATTTACTGCATAACAGAAGGATTTATATTCTACTGAACCTTTACTATTAACTCCTGAAATACCTGTGACATTAGCTATTTTTGACTCAATGTACAAACAATTGCCATAACATACGTATGGAACAGATTTCATCTCAATCGTTTTGTCAACACTTTTCAAAGGAAATGTCATATGGTATGCTCCCAGAAGCAATTGAACTCTATGACTCATTCGTGTTATCTTAAACTCCTTCGCATAACTGAACTTCAAAACTCCTGCAATAAGTTTAACATTCATTAAGTTTTCTTCGTTATCCTTGTTTATTGTAGTATTTATGAGAGCATTTAACACTCCAGCTAATGTTTCCATCTTATATTCTACATTATTGTGAAATCTTATTTCGTGCTTCTTTCCATCTATTTCAAGCTCCATGAAATCTGTTTCATCTGTTATGACAAAAGTTGCGATAGTATTGAAGTCAACAACTCTGAAAGCAAGCGCTTCATTCTGTAGACCTAAGTTTGTTTGTAGTTTTACTGTCCCGTATTCGTTCGGGTCTGTACTTTGTAAATAGAACAACATTTTATTCTCATTAAAATATGAGTATAGCTGCATATGCGTATGAAGCTGACAGAGCTAAACGTTTATATTTTGGTCAATACTCTCTCACACTTACTGACAAATATATTGTTATTTCTGATGGAAATACTGAGAAATATATAACATGGAAGGACTATGAAAAGTTTGACCCTATTTTAACTCCATGTACTATGCCATTCATTGTAAATGGTGAAGTTGTCATGAAGAACGACACAACTGTTTATAGGTCTGTATATGAAGCTCTTGAAAGCATTCTTAACTTCAATCCTTCAGGGTTCGATACAAAAACAACTCCTTCGACAATGCCATTCATTGAAAATGGTGAAATTGTGTCAAAAAATAATGAAACAGTGTATAAGTCAGTGTATGAGGCGCTGAACTATATGCTTCATTTCAATCCTTCTGGTTTTGACCCACAAATAACTTCATGTACTATGCCATTCATTGTAAATGGTGAAATCGTCATGAAAGATAACACAACTGTCTCAAAGTCTGTTCGTGATATTTTAGACTACTTGCTTCATTTGGGTCCTACAGGATTTGACCCATATACAACTCAATGTCAAGTACCATTCATAAACGACTCAGCAGAAATAAAACTCAAAACGTCAACAGTAGATGAAGCAATTGCTGACTCATTGACAAAACTTCTTGATATAATAATGAGGTTCAATACATTCAAAACAACATATGAAACCTTTAAGAAAAATTATGACGATTTCTTTAAAATTACATACATCGAGCCTTCTGCTCCTCAAACACCAGACTATGCATGTCTTAAAATAAAGGCTGCATGGACACAAGTTAGAACATTGACTTTTGACGGAGATAATATCGTTAGAGACGTTACATGGAGACACATTACTTACGAAAGAATACTTAAAAAGTCATATCAGTGATTTTGTGAAAGTAGAACAAAGTGGAGCAGGTAAGAGTTGGTTAGGGTGGTTGTTTACTTTATTTTCATCAGGTGTAACAACTGCATCTCTTATAACCATGCAAAGTGAGATAGACGCACTCTGGACTTTTCTTGGTGGCATAGATAGCATGAAGTTTTATGTTGAGTTTGCTAAATTACATGGAAATACAGGAAGTTTCTTTGACGGTCTCAAAAATTTATGGGGTAAAGTAACAATAATACAAAGAAACTAACTAACTGGGCACTCAAACGTAAAATATGTTCGACGGACTTGCTTACAACCCTCGTCTCGGAATTATTGAACCAATTAATTTACATCCTTTAATGGCAGCAAGAGATTTAGATGAAGGAGGACAAGTGGTTCAAACAATTGTTGAAAATCTACTGAATATATATCCTGAGTTTGAAGAAGTTTTAACAGCAACAAACACAACAATTCGTGAAAACAGTATAGTGTTTAACACTGAAGATAATATTTTAGACTATATGTTCGTTGTTTTAGGTCAGTTAGCTAAGACAATAAAAGAGAAAGGTATTGACTCAGTCATAACAGTTGAAGATGTAATGTTAAGAAAGACTTTTGACTCATTGTTTCAAGAACCAAAAGAAGTAGTTAGTCTTTATGAAGTTTTGAACGCAATGCTGACAAAAATAAATGAAAGTGACACTGGTACATAAGTGAAGCAAAAGTTGTTGAACTTCTTTCACAAAAAGCAGATAAAAACCATGTTCATTATATAAGTTCAGATGAACAGATTATAACGGACTACCATGGATATTTAACACAGGATGAAAAGTGAAGACAAAAATGTTAATGAAAGAAGATATAAATACATTCGTGCTAAAGGTTATGACATACTGTACTGTACAGTATGACACAGGTAAAGCACCAGAAGCATTTGGTTATAACGATGAAATTTATGCCTCTAGTTTCTTTGTTAACGGTGTATTAGTTGAACCAAGATTTACTTTGAGAGTTAAGGCAAAAATAACTTTTGAAGATGCTATTAAAAGTAAAGCTGACAAAGATGAACTTGACGCAACGAACAAAGTTTTGAAATCTCATAAACACAATATCTCCGATATAAATGAACTTCAAGCTACATTAAATAGTAAAGCTGACAAGAACCATACACATGAATCCTTCACTACTGTTAGAGCAGACGACATAATATTGAACTATACCCTTGGTTCAAGTGCACCTTTAGAGAATCCAAGTACAAGCGTAAAAGATACTCTAAACTCCTTAAATAACAAATGTATGAACATTGAAGGTCGTGTCAGAAACTTTGAAACACATGAACTACCAGCAATGTTAGATAAGAAAGCAGATAAAGAACATACACATAACTCCTTCTCAACTGTTGCTATAGAAAGTATTGAAGGAACGGTTGGCGGAACTGGTGGGGATGCATTATATTATAAACCTCCTAACTTTCCACAAGGTTTAACATCGAATGAAAACATAACAACGAAGAAAGAAATTAGCTGTAAAAATGTTTATGTCATGGATGATGAAAATAATGTTAAATTCACTGCTCAAGATTTATATGATAAGAAAGCAGACAAAACAGAGCTTCAAACATTAAAGACTGAAATACTTCAAACATTATATCCTATAGGCTCTATTTATACGTCAATGAACTCAACAAATCCAGCAAGTGTTTTAGGTTTTGGTACGTGGCAGCAGATTGTAGACAAATTCTTATACTGTGCTAACTCTTCAAAGCAAACAGGAGGCTCAAAGAAAATTAAAGAAGCAAACTTACCTGCGCACACTCATACAGGAACTACAAACTTTTCTGGTGACCATAGCCACTCATTAAGAGACCACCCATTATACAACTCAGACTATGAAGCTGGCAATGACGTTTTATCTCCATCTTATAACAATTCAGCAAAAAAGACTTTTCGACCAACTGAACCAGGAGGAAATCATTCACACACTTTCACAACAAATCCAACAGGAAGTGGTGCAGACTATATGCCTCCATTTATGACTGTATTCGCATGGTACCGTCTTGAATAAAATCTTTATTTTTACATAAATGAGTTTAAAAGAAGTATTCGAATCATCACCGTGGAGGTCATTTAAGAAGTTCAATGAAGCTGCAAAGAGTTGGGGATTTACTAACAGAGCTGAAGTGAAAAGGTTCTTTGACAAAAATGTTGTACATCAAACAAAAATAAACCCTTACGACTACTTTTTACCAATTTACTCCAACACTCCTGACGCATACCAATTTGACACTCTCATTCAAAGCAGAAAAGGAGGACATAAACCATTCCTCATCTTCATAAATGTTAACACTCGTAAAGCATATGCATATCCAATGAAAAATAAAGGAACTCGTGAAGTGTTAAGAGTTTTACAAAAGTTTGTAGCAGAACATAACCCAAGTACTTTAACATCAGACCAAGACGGTGCATACCTCAGCAATGAAATCACAGAATTTCTCATTAAGCATAACATAACTCACTACACTACTGAAGACCATAACCATAACATACTCGGTATCATAAACCGCTTCATAAGGACTCTCAGAGATTTAAATCAAGAGCGAGACTTTACCGAAGAAACAATGAAACATTTTCTCGAAGTATATAATTCCTCAACGCATTCTACAACAGGACATACACCAAATTCAATGACACAACAACAAGAAGAAAAGTATATACAAAAGAAACGAAGTTAAACACAAAATATCAGAAATTCAACACAATTTACTCTCATTCCTGGTACAAAAGTTCGTGTAGTTCTTGACGACAAACCGTTGACAAAGAAACGTTTAAGGTTAAGTAGAAACTATTATATAGTAGATTCAACGCAAGGTAATGGATATCTTATAAAAGCTGCCGACGACTCCATAGCATTTTACCCTCGACATAAATTAGTTGAAAGTAGTAATGGCAAACTTGCTGAAACCATTGACGAAGCAAAGCGAGGAGTGGTTATTGAAATACTTGGCTATAACATAAACGATGACACTTATAAAGTAAGATATGAAGGAGGCGTTGAAGATGTTACACCATCTAAGAACTTGAGAGAGTCGAAGCCAACACATCTGGGACCATTAGAGCGGGAGTACTGGAAAGACAAAAATATGCCAGAAAGAATAAGAAAATTCTTCTAAACTTTTTCATTAGATGTAAATCAGACATGAACGAGAACAGTCATGTATCATTAATGGTACCATTTATTTTAACATAAAGACGCAAAGCGGCGGGGCATAGCCCATGACCAAAAATAATTTTTAGTTGAAAAGGTTAGATCTAACCCGATATCTAACCCGATATCTACCCTCATGAATTTTCATGAATTTCCTTAAGATAGAAAAAAATAACGCTAGTTTTATTTTTATTTATTTTTTTATTTTGTATGTAAGAACAGAAATGTCAGTCGAAGCAAAAACATTCACGAACAAATCTAATGGCGAAACATTCACAAAAGGCACTTATAATGGTATTGAAGTCTTACGTAGAGACAAGGATGGTTACATTAATGCAACAAAGATGGCAAGAGAAGCAGGAAAGTTAAACCATTTAAACAGATTTCTCAATAGTGCTAAAATGCAGGAAATTCTTGAGTTTTGGATGAACGAATACGGTCAAGCCAAAAGTGGCTCAACCTCAAAACAAGCATTTTATGAGCTTACAAAGGGTGTCATGAATGAATTCAAAGGTATTTACATACATCCTGACCTCGTTCATTTTGTTGCTGAATGGTGCTCTGTAAAGTATGCATTTTATGTCAAAGATATTATGGACTCCATAGACAAGAAAGTTCATGAGAAATTAGATGAAGAAGAACTTGAAGATACAGTAGAGAATGCTAAACCTTTGTTCGAACAAGAAGTTAGAAAAATGTGCGAAAAACAATTAGAACATGAACGTGAGATATGTTATGGTTATAGAGATTCTCCATACGAACTAGACCAATGGGAACAAGACGATTTAAAGAGAGAATTTAGAGAATATGAACTCGCTAAGATAGCATTAGAAACTGCAGAAAAGAAGTTAAAAGTTTGGGGTCGTTTTGTACAAAAATATTGTGAGTAAATGAACCATTTATTTTTGTCATAAATTTACACCAAAAATATATTTAGGGTAGAAGGTTAGATCTAACCCGATTTCTACCCTCAGCCGCTAAGCGGCGAGACCCAAAGGTCTTGAATTTTCATAAATTTTATCGTTAATGTTTACGTTAATGTTTACGTTAATGTTTACGTTAATGTTTTCATAAATTTACACCAAAAATATATTTAGGGTAGAAGGTTAGATCTAACCCGATTTCTAACCTCATTTCTACCCTCAGCCGCTAAGCGGCGAGACCCAAAGGTCTTGAATTTTCATGAATTTTCCCGAAATAATAAAGTTAATTTTTATTTTATTTTTATTTTTTTTTATTTGGTATAAAAGATATGATTACAAAAATCGAAACATCCGCACTTTCGACAGCATGCACGGCACCAAACTCATTAGTCATGAATCCTACGTCAATGTTAGTAGAAATGAAAAACTTCATTCCTTCTTCATTTACTTTCGAAACAGAAATACAAAAAATTAAGCAAGAACTTTTAACAAGTAATTTAGACTGTACCGCACAGGATGAAGAAAATGAAGAATATCTTTATGACATGCAAGATATCATAGACCATTTACCCAAATTGCCTGAAATCCAGCAACAGAAACTGAGTGTTCCTGAATTCGATGAAATAGAAGTGAAAGTTAGTGATTCTGCAGAAATTAAGAAATTCATTCGTAAGGTAAATTCTGAATTCTTAGGTTTTCATTGCAACCATAAAGTTATGGATAAAGATTGCGACATGATTTATAAAAACATTTCAGATATTTATAAATCTGGGGAGTTTAAGACATACGACAACTTTGTTTCATTAGCTGCAAAATGTGTATGGCAGATAAGAGATAAAGACAGAAGAGGTAAAGTATGGCATGAACAGATAAAACCAACTGCTTCAGATTTAAAGAAAACCATTGACGCCTTAGTTATTTTAGCAGGTAAGGTTTCAGAATATAACGCAAAAATGAATCCTCAGTGTTCAAAATGTAAAGCAGCAATGAGGAAATATAACTATTCAGTAAAAGAGATAGAAAGAATGAGAAACGATTACGAAGATTTAAAGAGGGAGGCAGAGAAACCAGCAGAAAATAAAATGAACATGTTAGAATTTCTGAATAAAAACTATCCCACAGCTGATGATTTCCTTTTATCTGATGTCAAGAAGAAGTATAAAGAAACTTTCGGCATTGTTAAAACTTTTGATATATTAACTGAAGAAATAGAAGCTACAAAAATATTTAAAATTTCACGAATTCATAACGTATATCATGTGAAACGTTTATAAAATAACTGGGGTAGAAATGAGGGTAGATATCGGGTTAGATCTAACCTTCTACCCTAAATATATTTTTGGTGTAAATTTTACTGACGGTGCAAAGCGCCAAGACCGAAGGTCCTGACTGACTGACGGCACAAAGTGGCTTAACGAAAACATTAATATATAAAATTCATGAGGGTAGAAATGAGGGTAGATATCGGGTTAGATCTAACCATCTACCCTAAAAATTATTTTTGCTGAATTCAGCACAAAATTCTGAGTAAAATGACATATGGCATGTGTCAAACCGTTGAGTTTTCACAAAATTCCAAAAATAACGTTTACCATGTGAAACGTTTATAAAATAACTGGGGTAGAAATGAGGGTAGATATCGGGTTAGATCTAACCATCTACCCTAAAAATTATTTTTGCTGAATTCAGCACAAAATAATGAATTTCATTAGTTAGAAAAATAACGCTAATTTTTTTCTAACAAAATTTTTATCTTGTATGTAAGAACAGCAATGACAACATCAGTTATCGTTCATGAAGCCATTAATGAAGAATATGAATACATACAGTATAACAAACAATTGAGACTCATTCGTTCAGTCAAAGATGACATGTACCAAATGCAAAGTATTTTGACAGCATGTTTTGCTCCAGAGAATAAAACACCAAATGAATGGTTTGAATTAAATAGCACTCATGAACTCCTCAGTGAGTTTGAACATGTAGAACTTAAAAAGATGTACCAAGACAGACAAAACTTACCATCATTTCTAAAAGGTATATATGTTCATAAGTTCCTAGTTAGTTCAATAGCAATGTGGACTTCACCTCGTTATGCAATCTACATACTTATGCTACTTGACGAACTTTGTACAAAGTAGAGAGAAGATATGATGAAAGAAGACAAAAGCATACAGAAAAGAATACCGCGTTCAGTACCAAAAGGAAAGGAAAAGAGTTATAAGTATATGATATATACTGAAGAGTTGGAGAAAGAAGAAGACAGAGATATGGTTATGTTGCATTTAGTGAGAAGAAACAACAAGAGCTTTTATGACTTAGCTAAGATATATAAATCTGACAGAAACTGGTTCTATCGTGAAAACTTACCGATTTCAATGACACCGAATGAGCAAATAAAGGAAATTGTCAAAAATACTCTTCCTCAAACACACTATGACATCAAAGGTTGTACAATACTTACATTCAAAGAAGACTTAACATTACTGAAGGAAAAAATAACAGAATATTTCGATAACTTCAAAGAGGAAGAATGAACAAAAATCTACGCTAATTTTATTTTTTTTATAAAATTTTATCTCATATGAAAGAACATGAATTTAGAATATTCGGAACTCATGACAGAAGAAGAGAACGAACAACATGTAAAAGATTATGCAAAATTTCTGAAGACATACAAAACATTTAAACAATATCTAAATGCTTCTAAAGATTATGCAAAATTTCTGAAGGTATATAAAGCTTATGAAAAAGCGTATGAAAAGTTTATACATTGGGGAATTGTTGTAAAATATCGATATGAAGACTAACCAAAAATATATTTTTGCTTAAATGACGTCAGGGTCAATTTCTTCAACCATTTCACTTCCTTCGTCAATGTCAATAGAAGCTTCTTCAACCTTTGGTAAGAACTTTTGTATAACATCTTTGTTCGTTATTGTTTTCAGAGATGAAGGATAATATTTCACATTTGTTTCACCCTTCTTATATTCTTTCTATTCGGAAAGATTCATAGCAATGCTGAAAAATTCAACGTTAGAGTTCTTTATGATAGTATAGTGTGTATCTTTGACATTCACGAAGAAACCCTTTTGTTTCAAAACTACTGCTAACTCTTGTGAAGTATAACGTTTGCGGTCAATGACGATAGCTAATGGTCTGACATACTGACCAAACTTAGATTCTTTCACAAACTTCTTGTTAAAGATAACATTAACATTTGAAGCACCATTGAACTCATTCTTGATGGCATTAGCGAGAGCATTGTATGAAAAGAACTTGCAATCTTGCATGTGTTTCATTAAAATAAAAAGTTTGAAATATTTTAAAACTAACCTTAAAAAATCTAAGCTAATTTTTTTCTAAGAATTTTTTTTATTTCCTACTAAAGATGTATCGGAAGTTGTCTAAGTTAGAACACTCGGAAATAAAACAACTTCTAACAGAAGCTAACATAGAAGTAGCAAAACATTACGCAACAAACAAAAAAGCACTCGTTGACATCCTCAATGACTACAATGGTGAAATAACTTATGATAGAATTCATGAGTTCATAAAGCCGCAACGCGGCGAGGACGAAGTCCATGCAAGAGCATTTCCTTTAAATGACGTTGCTATTGACTTATATCATAGACGTTCAGTACCACATGAAGTAAGAAGAGAAATGTTTGACATAACAAATGCAAACGTTGGTGAAACAAGAAAGAGAGACGACACACTGAAACAACAGAGAAGAGAGATGTTTAAAAGTGCTATAGAACAAGTTCGCAAAGCTAACGATGTCATTCGTTCCATTGACGACAAACCAAAAGAAGGTGAGAGATGGTTAAAGAAAGATGAAGAGAATAGGAAGAGAAATGTGAAGTCAGGCAATAGACTCATTGACTTTAACATCGAAGCTTTAGATGAACCAAACAGAGACTACTTACACAAACATTTCGGTAAGGTTTTCATGAGACTCTTAGAGAAAATTAAAATAAACTCACAACAGAGATGGATGGTATGTTATAAACTTGGTGGAAAGTATGAATGTTCTACGTTAAACCTCAATAATATTGGAACATTACTACATCAGCTCTTGAAGGAGAACTTTATATCAGAGATAGAAGCAAATGCTGCAGGTATTGTTGAAATGCACTATGACTTCTTCTTGACAAACATAAAGAATCTTACTGAAATAAAGATGTATGATTTAACAGAATATGAAGGCTTAACGATGTCAGATGTAAAGAAAGGCAAACCAAAAAAGAGACCATATAGAGATGAAAGCACACTGACAAATGACCAGAAAGCCATTTTGGAAGCTCTTAAGCAAACAGGAAACCCAGCACTTATAGAAAGCTTTTGGAAAGATAATGGTGAAAAGAAGTTTTATAAGAAGAGAAGCGGTCAGTTCTGGAAGTATCTTTGCACATTACCTATAAATCTTGAACGCTACCAAATCTTCAATGAACTGAACAAAAGAACTGCAACACTTATGACAGGACAATTGTTTCGTTTATGCTTGCATTCAGGCTGGAGTAATGAAGAAACTATTGACCACATGAGAGAAGTCATTCGTGTTAGAGACTTTCCTCAAAGTAAAGTACAAGAAATTTCTGACGCAACAGGTATAGCATTTAATGTTACCATTGGTTATTTCAATGACTCAAGACATAATGAAATAAAGAGATATACCAAAAGAATGCGAAACTGTTAGAACTATTGACTTACTTCTTGTTGAAGACCACTACATGCTAAACGAAAGATTACCAATGACAACATATTTCATTCGAAACTATAAAGAAATTCTCAAAGCTTGTGGTGGAATGAACATTGAGAAACAGATGAAGATTTATACAAAGAGAGAAGATAAATATGTAGTTCGTTATGATAGAACAACACCGTTATGGGATGTTATGAAAACATTGTGGGAGTGCAAATATTTCGAACCTATTTCTTATGGAGAACTTTTCACATATACGACTGACTTATATAAACAGAACCTTGCACCATTTAAAGATTTGACATATGCTCCAAAGTATTGTGTACAACTGAAGAAGAAAGCCGAGTCAAAAGAAGTAAATAAAAATAAGTGCAAGTTCATTCCTGAGCACGTTTTCTTTGCTGACTTTGAGTGCAGTACCGATGGCTTTCATAAAGCTTTTAACATATGTTATGACAGTGAAGATGGTTCAGTGAGTGAAAGCATATGGGGTCAAAACTGTGCAACAGAATTTTTGGAGCGACTTCCTGACAAGAGTTTAATATATTTCCATAACCTCAGTTATGACATAAACTTCATCTTAAGACACATGACAAAAGTGAAAGGAACTCCCATCATTAAAGGTTCACGAACAATGCAAATAACTGGCTTATATAAAGGACAGGCAATTATTATAAAAGACTCTTACAGTGTTATAAATAAGAAGCTTAAACTATTTCCTGCTATGTTTAACTTACAAACAGGACCGAAAGAAGTATTTCCATATAACTACTACAGCAGTACTTTGCTCATGAATGATAACAAAACTGGTGTCATTTCTGAAGCGTGTAAGTTTATCCAGGATGCGGATACATTCATGAAAAACATAGATTTAATCGAAAACTGCAGAATAGATGAAAACCATTTCGACTTAGAAAAGTATAGTACATTCTATTGCAAATAGGACGTAAGAATTTTAAGAGAAGGTTTTGTAAAGTTCAGAAATGACTTATTGAAAGAGTTTGATTTAAACGTTTATGATTCCGTTAGCATTTGTTCAATTGCTAACAAACTTTTCGAGAACAGAGTATACTTCCCGAATGGAAATCTTTATGACCTCTCAAATAAACCAAGAGAATTTATTTCGAGATGTATTCAAGGTGGAAGATGTATGTTGTCAGATAACATTAAACAAAAGAACGAAAAGAAACTCATTGCTGATTTCGACGCTGTTTCATTATATCCATCAGCTATAGCAAGACTTTATACTTTAGAAGGTATTCCAAAGGTTATGAAGAAAGAAATGTTAAGCACAGAGTATCTCATGAGACATTTATTCGATGACGACCAAAAGGAACCCATTGGTGAAAAGTTTATGTCTGGCTTCTTTGTTCTCATTAAGATAAAAGAGATTGGCATACATAGACACTTTCCTTTAATAGTTTGTGACCCTGAACTAAATCCAGAACTTAACGTTCCCAGAAGTTCAAACACTTGCTGTTTAATGTATGTTGACCATATAACATTACAAGACCTCATAAAATATCAAGGTGTCAAATGTGAAGTGTTGCAAGGATACTATTACGATGGAAACAGAGATATTAGAATAAGAGATGAAGTAAAGAAGTTGTTTGAGTTAAGGTTAAAGTATAAGAAAGAAGGAAATCCTTTGCAAGAAAATATAAAGCTCATTCTGAACAGTATTTATGGCAAAACCATTCTATCACCTATTGAGTCAAAAATAACCATAGTAGATGACAAAGATGCTATAAGATATGCCATCAGAAACTACAACCATATAGTGAAGTTCGAAGGTTTGGATGGTTCAGATAAAACTATTTTCAAGCTAACGAAAAGCATTTGCAGACACTTTAACTTCTGTCCACTTGGTGTTAACATTCTGTCAATGTCAAAACGTATTATGACCGAAGTATTCTGTACTGCAGAGGATATGGGCTTGTATATAGCCTATCAGGATACCGACAGTATGCACTTATATAATGAAGACATTCCAAAGCTTGCAGCAGAGTTTAAGAAGAGATATGGTCGCGAACTTATAGGAAAGAACCTTGGTCAATTTCATTCTGACTTCGCAGAAATAACACCTGGAAAACAAAGTTTAGCATACAAGTCAATATTTTGTGGAAAGAAGACCTACATAGACTTACTCACTAACGATTTAAATGAAGTTGCATTCCATGCACGTTGCAAAGGTGTCAAACAAGACGTCCTTGCTTTAACAGCAAATGAAATGTTTCCTGAAGCTATACAATACTATTACAATGAAGATAAGAACATTCACATACCTGTTGGAACATATGACAAAAACTCTGAGTTCAGTTTAATGAAACTTTACAAAGCACTTTATGACGGCCAAGAGATTGGATTTGACTTATGTAAGTCTGCTACACCTGCATTTGAAGAGAAGTTTAACTTTTCTATTCAGACTAAGACTTCATTTATAAGAAAGCTTAAGTTCTGAGAACATGAATGATAAAAATAAGCCGCTAGCGGCAAGGGCGAAGCCCATGAGGTCATTTACAATACAGCAATTGTAGAATTTAAGAGTTGTGCTTCAATGTATAAACAATCTTTTCTATCTGGAGGCAAGAACACTGGTGCTTTATGGTCATGAGTGGAGAACATGTCTATCCAAAACTCACGATTGAAACCAGTTAGTTTGTAATATTTAGGATTTGGTAATGGTGAATTTCTTGTATGACCAATGAACTCATTTTCAACTCCTTTACTTAGGTTTGAATATAATATTGTTTGTTTTCTATCCCAAATACCTGGAAATCTAATTTCGGAAAATTCATTTTTCCTCGGAAGCATTGCATCATAATTGAAAAC